GTTTTTTGTTTAGTTATAATAAAACACTTCTTTTTAAACAGTTGAAATAAAGTTTTTTGTTTAGTTATAATAAAACAAAACAAAAAACTAAACAAAAAAAACTTTATTTCAATTGTTTAAAAGAAGTTTTAAACAATTGAAATAAAGTTTTTTTGTTTAGTTATAAAAAAACACTTTTTTTAAACAGTTGAAATAATGTTTTTGTTGTGTTCTTATGTTTTAACCATATTTAATCATCTCTTCTCAGCCATTGAGCTGTCCCTACAGGAGCAGAAGCAGCAAGCAGAGACGCGACCCCTGACCCTGACCTCTGACCCTCCCACCTGTCCTAATGGTGGTGGAGGGCAGGAGGCCCGGAAGGTGCGTGCGCTGTACGACTTCGAAGCAGCTGAGGATAACGAGCTCACCTTCAAAGCTGGCGAGGTTGTTCTAGTTTTAGATGACAGGTAATCATTCAGAAATTACTCCTTCACTAAAACCCACATGAAAACCTGTACAGATCTTAAAACTTGGAATTAAAAATATATATAATGTGTTTTCTTACCCAGGAAACACACTCTCGTAGTACGTTTTTGAGCGAAGCCTCAGAGGATAAAATGTTGTGTTTATTTTCAGTGATCCAAACTGGTGGAAAGGAGAAAACCACAGAGGAGTCGGGCTTTTCCCCTCAAACTTTGTGACGAGCAGTCTTAACGATGAGCCAGAGCCAGGTCGGTCTTGGTTTCCTCTCAAACACAAACATTTTGTTTTGTTGTCTTTGAAAGCTGCGCTGCTCCGCTCACTGATGCTCATTCAGGAACGTTTCCCTCCTCAGAGGTTTATGTCGAGCAGACAGCCACTCCTGAAGAGACGAACCTGGAAACCAAAGCTGAGCCTGAACCTGTCTACATTGATGAGGTGTCACGTTTCCTCCTGCGTTCATCTACAAACCTAAACTACCTCCCACTCATACCAACCCACCTGTCCTGTGTTGTGTCTGCAGGCCAAGATGGACAGAACGCTGGCGCTGCTGCAGAACGCAGATCCTGCAGATCCCACTCCAGACTCTGCTGAGCTGAGCCATCTGGAGGGTATGAACCTGAAGGGTCCCACTGTGAGCGTCGCTCTGCGTTAGGCTGTAGTTTCTGACTGTTTTCTGTCTGTGTGTCAACACCTGAACAGATGCGTGTCAGCAGATGAACCCACTGATTGATGAGAAGCTACAAGAGATTGACAGGTACATTTATCACTATGAATGAATTATTACTGTATGAACAATGTTTGTTAAAAGGATCCCTGATTAGTTGTAACATTAGACTTTATTTGATAAACATATATTTTAACTGTAAAATAAAGACTGTAAAAATACTGTAGGAAAATTTTTTTAAATATATTTTAACACGGACGGAGCCATTTTATT